CCTTGGCCTCCCAAAATGCTGAGATTACAGGCTTGAGCCACCATGCCCAGCCTCATTAGATTATTTATTGGGGCAAATAAAGTTTAGCCCTGTGAACCGGTTCCATATTGTCAGAAATAGTATTTGGATCCAACTGCCTTTTATAAACCAGTAAGCTTGTATTATTACTATCTCATGACTAAAATGTTTAAATGAAAATTGTAAGATCTTTGTGTGTGTGCATATGCATTTCAGTGTGTTTATGCATAGTTACATGTATTATGTAATATGTGTGACTACGTGGTAATATCTGGCATAATCCAGAATCCCTTAATGAATTCTATTCAGATTGGCTGCGATAAATAAACACACATATAAAAGATACAGTAATTAACCCAAACGCCTTTTAGTTAACATGATTTAAGTAAATCTTTAATATGTAAGCTGTTTTTAAAATTATTGCTACTTGGAAGGCTGAGATGGAAGGAGCCCAGCAGGTCGACACCAGGATGGCTGTGAGCATGCCACTGCACTCCAGCCTGGGCAACAGAGTGAGACTCCAACTAAAATAAATAAATTAAAAAAATAATAAAATAAATATACAATAAAATTCTTGCTAACATAAAATAGAAACTTCTTTTAAATTGTCAGCATACATTTTTGCCTGGTCACTGCTAGATGTTTTAAGGTCATAAAACTATAAACTCAGCCTAAAAACAAAATGATCTTTGTTTGGGTAACACTTCGATAAGGCAGGCTAATTTTTTCTTTTTTTTTTGAGTCAGAATCTTACTCTGTCTCCTAGGCTGGAGTGCAGCAGTGGCACGCTCTCAGCTGCCGCAGCCTCGATCTGCTGGGCTCAGGCGATCCTTCAACCTTAGCCTTTCCAAGTAGCTGGAGCTACAGGTGTACACCACTGCGTGCCACCAGGCCTGGCTAATTTTTTTATTTATTGATGAGGTCTGGCCAAGTTGCCCAGGCGGGTCTCAAACCCATAGTCTCAGTCAATCCTCTCACCTCCGCTTCCCCAAGTGCTGGGATTACAGGTGCGAGTCACTGCGCCCAACCAGGCTAATTATTAAATAAAAGCAGCTGCACCTTCTGCGTTACTGGCAAAATACCCATATATTTAACTTTAAGGTTCTACCTTAGGTGAACAACTGATATTTACAGGCTATAGAAATGGTTAATGCCGGGCTCAGTGGCTCAGCCTGTAATCCCGCACCTTTGAGAGGCTGAGGTGAGTGGA